TGTACTCAGAAGTCTCAAATTTCTCGGATGACACACACAAAAAAGACAAACGAGTATCTGTGACGTCAATGGGGCCAAGGAGGCAGGAAGAAGCTACTTAGTTATTTCTGACTTGAGAGTCTACACAGGCATAAATTCAAACATAAAAATTACACAGCTAGAAAATGTAAGACATACAACCTCATACCTTTAGGAATCCTTAACTTTTCTGATGCTTGCAGTTTCTTAGATCTCTTTGCTATAGGTTGAATGTTAATGTTCCCCTAAAAATTCATACATTGAATCAGAGACCCTAATGCGATGGCTTTTGGAGGTGGGACCTTTGGAAGGTGATTAGGTCTTGAGGGTGGAGCCCTCATGGATGAAATCAGTGACCTCATAAAAGAGACTCCAGAGAGCTCCCTTGTTCCTTCTACCGTGTGACAACGCAGAGAAAACACCAGCTATGAACCAGGAAGCAGGTTCTCACCAGACAGTGAGCCTGCTGGCACCTTGATCTTGGACTTACCAGCCTCCAGAGCTGTGTGAACTTTCTCTTTACAAGACACCCATGTTATGGTATCCTGTTATAGCAGCCTGAATGAACTAAGGCATTTTTCATGTCCTCCCTCAATTTTAACCAAAAGGAAACAGTTCTTATTTGAAGGGAGATGTACTCCAAATGTGCAGATGAGTATTAAGATGTGGTTCCTAGGCAGAAGGCTTGATTTTTTCTCTAAGTACAGGGCAAAAAAGCTATTCATTCCCTAGTGCATCAACTTGCTCCTGAAGAACAGCCTTGAAGCCTGAAAGATTCAACATTTCAGTACAAATAACTAGATTCATAAATACTGACAGTTGCTCACAAATACTTGAGAGTTGTAATGTGAAGCATGACAGTTCAGGGGTCTGCTGTAGGTATGTGGATGGTCCAGTCAAGATTATCACTGTAAAGTTAGTTGGGTTTCACATGTTTTTCTCTATTGGGTTTATGATAGAGGCAAAATCTTAGGGCAATTCATTTTGAATTAACACAGTAGAAAAGAAAGAAACCAACCCTGTTAAAGGGTAGTAAGAAATTAGTTTTTAAAATGTTTCCATTTCTTATTTTCAATCCTTTTGTTGATGAATTCCATACCTCATCTGAATTCCATACCTTGTCTTAATTCACTATAGGGTCTTTGCAAAACATGGGTCTACTGATACCATTTCCTCTGAACTGAGCAGCCAACCCCATCAAACTTTCTTTTCTTTCCACTGAATCAAGCAATTGGTTAAACTGTCCATTGGCTGCTTTCACATTTTGCATATTTAGCTTAGGATTCAATAGCATTACTTATAGAAATAATTACAGTAATATCCAGTGAGCTTGTTAATCTGTTCTCATTTATTTCTCACAATAACCTTACAAACAAGAGTGTCTTATTACTCCCACTTCACAGATAATGCAACTGAGGCTTAGAAAGCTAAGTAACTTATCCAATGTCAAATGGCTGGCAGTGGCAGACTGAGATTTAAATGCTGGCCAAAAAAAAAACCCCACTTGGGTTCCAATTAACTAGCCATTTTCCAGCAAATGTAGTTTGGTATTGGAATTACCTGGAATGATCTCATTATGTAACTTTGGTCTTCTCGGACATAGGTCAACGTACTTTGAGACAGACCATCCAAGTGCTTAAAGTTATTTTAATGGTAAGTAGGTTAAACAAATTTGAAATGCAGGACTTGTTTTTTCCAGGCCATAGCTCCTTTGTAAATAATTCATTATTCCTCCAGCAGCTCTGCTCAGTGCTACCAGTCAGTGCAGGCACTTTGGGTGCATAAATACAGTGCACAGTCTAGTGAGAGAAGTGTGATATTTGAAGGGTGTAAACAACTACTGGCATTAAAAAAAAAAGAGAGATTTGTTGTTCTGGGATAGGTCAAAAAAGGCTTCATGGAATCCTCCACCTAAAATGCTCTCTCTTCCAGGCACCCCATGGCTCACTTCCTCACCTCCTCCAGGTTGCTGCCGAAATGGCACCTACTCACGAGGTTTTCTGTGACCACCCCATTTAAAACTCCTCCCAGCCTTCCTTATCCTGCTGCCCTGCTGTGTGTCCTTTGTAGCACTTAGCACCTCTTCGCATACCTTGTGCTTTTCTTATTTTTGAGCATCCTGTCGCATGTTTCCCCCCTGCTACAAGGTAAGCTGGAGGGGGGCAGGGTTCTTTGGTGGTTTTGTCCACTGATGTGAACCTAGTTTCAAAACAGTGCCTAACACAGTATAGGAAAGCAATGCATGGTTGTTCAATGGATGAAGGAAATAAGACTTGAGCTGGATCCAAAGAATGGATAGGATTTAGCTAGACTTTGGATGGAAGAGAATTCCAGGGGAAGAAACTGACCGAAGAATGGAGGCAGCAAATGACATAGCCTGTTTGGAGACAAGTGTTTGGTCACCTTGGTTAAAATACAGAAATATGGTGAGGTCTGGAAGAATCTAGATCATGTAGACCTCAGTGATGATGACTTAATTTCACAGGCAGCAGGGAACCCTTAGATGAGGACTCTTTAAGGATATTGAGCCTTTAAATATCCTTAATTTAATATTTAACAATTTAGCCAAGTCACTCCTGGCAATTCAAATTTAGGCATGAAACCAGGTTGGGTGGTTCCTGAAGCTAATGTAATTGTAAACCCTGGCAAAACAGCCCACTTTGGTTCCAATTAACTAGCATTTTCAGTAAATGTAGGTTGGTATTTGGCAAAAAGTAAAGAATAGAGTCAAGAATATAAAGTTAGGAACAGTAAATTAGATGTGACCTCTGGCCTGGCCCCTTTCAGGCCACAGTGCTAAGTTAGTCCATTGGGTGGCAGGAGTCATCCCAGAAGTCCTTCCTTCGCTGGGATGCCCAGCAGTAACCAAACTACCCAGAGATACGAGTACAGGTCATGTGAATACGTTCTACCAGGGACAACGTCCCTTAGCTCAATCTCAAAAATGCCTGTAGCCTCTCTGAGGCCACCGAACAGCAAGAGAGATGGATGATGGAAGAGAAGTCAGAGTGTCAAGAGGCACAAACTGTGACAAAAAAGTAGTAGTTGCAATTTCTTTCTATGACCAGGGGAACTCATTTCTGGGACCTTGGAAGAAGACTGAACAAATAAGGGAGTCTGAAGTTCCAGCTGGTATCATGGGAGAGCTGCTTCTGGACCTCTGAGGAAGGGTATCAGATGAACTGGGAGGAAGACCACTAGGCACAGGTGATGAGATGGTTGGCATGAGAGTTTGGAAAGGATGGGGAGAGAGAGAGGATATGGAGGAACCCTGTAATTAGAGCTGGCTGCTGAGCCAAGGGAAAGAGAAAGGTCAAAAGTGTCTGAAGTCATCACTCGGGATACTAAATAGAAATCTGGGCGTGAACTGCTCTTGTGCCTAAAAATTTCTCTGCACGTTAAATACTCTGTTGTTCTAGGTTTAAGTGCTTGGTATATATTACCATCATTGATGTTCAAAATATCACATCTTTCGCCAGCGGAAGCCTCTTCACGGAGGCTCCTAAGTCTTGTGACATGACCGCTAGTCTTCCATAGTTGCCTTGCTTTCTGGTAAGATGAGATTTCTGGGCTTGTTTTGTATAGTTCCTGGGCCATACCTGGAATCTTCCATTTCTCCAGTAAGGCCCAGATTCTCTTAGTGAGAAACTGTATTTTCAAACCATATCTGGCTCTCCGGACGCTCGCTGCTACTGGGTCGGTCTTTGTTTCTAGGCCTTTTCCATGGACAGTGCCAGGAAAGCTGTATGTGTATAGACATGTGCGTATGTATATGCATATATTCTGCACCTTAGGCACGATAAATACTCTAGGTCTGTGAAAGAAACTGACCATTGTTTTAAACTTGCTCTGTTCGGCTACTAGGCAGTGAAAGCAGCACATTTTAAAGTGGGGTCTTAGTGACATGGAAGAGGTGGTGCAGGTTCCCCAGGCGACTGACTTATCAACAGCAATAAACTTGGGCACCGGGAGAATCTGGATGGCAAATTAGTGGTTCAGGAAGTGGAAACGTAGCTGTAGTGTTTTTTGGCTGTTAGGCTTCAGAATATAAAATTGGCCTGATGCATTAGAGTGGCTTTGGAAATCTGCAACATTTTTATTAGAGAGATCACTGAATACCCAGTAATGTTGGTTCTAACTCCACCACCACAGTGACAGCTAGACACTATTTAGGGTGACCCTGTGACATAGCAAGAATGTTTCTCACACTTGAGTGATTTGTTAGAAAAGCAAAAACAGAATTGATTTGATCACACAATGAAGAAAATCAAAACTGGGCTCGGCTATGGAGATGACGAGTTCTTGTACTGACTGCTTTTGAGCAAGAGTATGCTTCGCTTTTTTTTTAAAAAAACACTAAAATTGGGTTCTATAGAACTTTAAATCCCAAAGTCTCCCCCATCCCCAATATAAGCTAGTAAAAAAAAAAAAAGCATTACCGTGAGGATTCCCTCTCCACCAGATGTTACTGTTCACATATATTTGAAATGCTGAATGTTTAATGAAACACTGTTGTTAAAAACTGTATTAGGCTATATTTGATACATTTCCCTAATATGTAATTCTTTATAAGTATTTACCTAATAAATCTCAGATAAAAACTATCTTTCATATCATAAATTTTGACCGAAAAAAGCAAAACCAAAAAACAACCCACGACAAAATTACAAGTGGTCATAAGCATTGCCTTTCAAAAGAGAAGCAAAAACCTTCAGCTTTCAGTGGTGTAGGACTGACAATTGATACTTTGGCTATGAACGAGGCAAATAGGTTACATCTTCTATGCCAATTGCAATAAACTGAGGCTGGCTTCCCGGGGCTCTGTGGTGGGATGAATTCTGAGACTGCTTCCAGGCTCCGTAGGAAAGAGAACTGTGATCAGTTAAGGAGCGGGGAGTCGCGGCATGTGTGCTACACCTTCGGTGTCAAGGATTAAACAGCATTTAAAAACACCACACACACAATGAGCATCACAGACTTACCAGATAAGCCGCCCACATCCATCTTCTTCAGGTTCTTTGCCTCCAGAATGACAACAGTCAACTTGCCAGCAGTAGGTACATAGCGAAGGGAGAAGCAGATATCGCCCAGTTTCTCTTGCTATGAAAACCAATAAGAAAGTGTAAGTCATTTTCCAAACAAAAGTGACTGTAGTTTGTACATATACATTGTAAACTCAGGGAGGAGGACTATGACAATTAGATTTTGAAAACTCTTGGCATTAACCAATAGTTGTGCGTTCACTAAGGTATCAGGAGTGGTTGGAACCCATTTCAGTTTTTAAATAGCTCATTTATACTTCAACATTCATCAAAACATATCCATAATTCAATGGTTCAGGAGATGAGACCAAGATGACAGTTTTAGAGACTGCATTCTGAATAGTACTGCCAAACTCTTCGCAAAAATTCGTAACTTGATTAAAAGCTTTGAAAAGTGCCTAACATTCTTTGGTTAGAATCAACCTACTTAATTTTTTTTTAACATTTCAAAATAGGATTATGTCTAATACTTGGTATTTAGATTTTTGAATAGAAGACTTGCATTTGTGTTCTACTTAAATTCTATTTATTGATGAGAAATTCTAAATTGCTAATAGCAGAAATACAACAAAGTAAGTTTTTTCACTTTTAGTTGTACTCATCTCAAGTGAGGTCTAACTGCGTTTTTCTTTATCCTAAAATGTGTAAAAAAAAAAATCTAAGTGGTAGGTTAAAACCCAAATACATAGTAATACAAAGTTTCTCAAACCCTCACATGATTTAATTGGTGCCATATTTTAGTTCCAAGAACATCCACCAATCCTATGCCCGAATATTTCTGAACAACTGATAAGTGTTTAAAATGATGATGCTATATAGAGAACTTGTACCTTCCTCAGAAAAGAGACCTATGTGTTCTCCCACCTTAAGTGTCTTACTCTTGAGGATGACTAAAAACCATGGTATCGAACACGTGCAAAATTTCTGCATTCATATTTATAAGCAAGAGGGTGTGGAGTTGTATTCTCGGATGCCGGAGGCTCTCCATTGCTCTCTGGCATAGGGGATGAAGGGTATAGATGGCAGATCAGGGTTGATTTTTTAGTATCTTCCCCTCACCCCCAAACAGTGATTCCAGAGAAGGTAATGGTTGTGTCAGACCTCCATACCACATTCCGATGTTAGAAGTCTATATGCAGAAGCCATATCCTCAGGTCCTCTCCTGTTAAACTCTTAATAGGACTGTTTTGGGCCTTATCTGTAACTTGATGTTGTGTTAAATTGGCTAACTTAGCCGGAGTCTCCACTGCGGAGATTCCTGTGGGGGTAGTCATTAAATCCATCTTTGGAAAAGGGAAGGGTATCTACCTATGACATGATTTATCTATAGGTGAGAAGTAATATATTGAATGTGTGTGTGAGAACTGGTACCTCTTGCTGCTTAATCAAAGTAATACTTTAATTGAAAACATTACCACATAGAAGGGTGGTTATAGCTCAGCGGCAGAGCGCATGCATGGAGTCCTGGGTTCCATCCCTAATACCTTCATTAAATAAACAAAACCCCCGAACATTACAGCATGTGTGTATAGCCTCGGTTCTTTCATTGGCTTGAGTTCTTACAGCATCTTACCCATTGTCTCTTAGGTTACTAAGGACTTTTTTTGTCTGATTGCACATGGCAATTCCCCACATGACTATGAACTCCGTGAAGACAAGGTCCTTCCCTGAATTATTACTTTCCACACATTTTCAGAAAGTAAATACATGGAGATTTTAGATGATTCTCCCATTTTGAATTACCCAGGTCGTACCTCCCTTCCATTAGTGTAGATAATAGAGAGTTACTCCTAATGTGCTAAATTCACCTGAAGTGCCTACTCGCCCCTAGGAATTAATTTACACATCAGGAGAATCTAGTGGAAAAAATTACTTTTCACAGTCTCTGAAAATACAGAATGGGTGTCAGTAGCACAGAAATTAATACAAAGTACAGACAAATTCATCTGAACTTTAGGAGACAAGAGAAATGGAAATGAATGAAATTGCTGTTCACAAATGGCTCATTAGGAGGGTTCTTTTTTGCAGGATTCTGTCTGTTCGCCACAATCGCCTCTCTGGGGAGCTTATTACTGGCAGTCACCAGAGCAATGACTACCTCTCGTTTATCTTACCTATATTCGCTCCCATCCACTAGAGTTTTGCTTAGTCAGGAAATTTATCTAGAGTGACTTTAGTCCCTTCTGCCTAATCAAATTACCCCTAACCATTCAGCCCTAGTCCAAGCTCCAAACCTTTAATGATAAAGTACCTCCTTACGATGCCAGCCCACGTGGATTTTTGCTGCTGATTGCCTTATAGCCAGGAGTATGGTGCTTAGGGATGTTTTTTCTGTTTCTTTCATATAGGTGAGTTCCTGTCACTCTAAACTCCAGAACAGGGGTTGTACCTTACACTTCTTAATAAGGTGCATAACAAGGGCTTATAAATCACTGCTGGCAGATTGCATTGAAGTGAGAACCTCACTCACCTTTTGCTTTGTACACAGCACAGACACCAGTGTTCTATCAAAAGTGTGTCTCAGTTTAATCAGCGAGTCAACTAATGAATATATTTGGAGCTCCTTCTTTGTGTCTAGTGCTGTAGACGTAGCTCCTTTCCTAAAACTGGAAACGAAAACATTTCTGGACGTGTTGTTTTTATAAGATAATTCCAGGATCCTATAGGGTTGCAGCTGACAGACGAGTGCTTTTGCTGCTGCGATTAGCTCGTGACGGGGCCTTATTACTATTAGGAATTTCAGCTGTATGTATCATGTATTTCAGTCAATAGCCTTGATCACTGGGTGGAAACTGCCAGTTAGTGTTAGAAAGTTCCAGCTGTGAGATTCAGAGAAATTAACCTGCTCTTTTAGAATGTGGAGCTGACAATCAGAAAGCACCTTTGTTCTGAGCAGTTTGATAATTCTGATTTTTTTTCAAGCAGCCGCTGAATAGAGTAGACACAAATTAATGACTTAACAGACAACTACAGTAATACCTTTCCTTTCTGAAAAGCATTATAGCTATTGGAACGGAGGTCATCTCCAATGGATAAATGAAAAGCTTGATTTAAAATGAATATTTACTTGATGACTTTAATAGCACCATCCATTATTTCACGTGTAAAAAGAGGTGTTTGCTTTAATGACCTTCGCAAATGGGGCTAAGTTCACATGCTTGTTGGAAATGCAGTTCTTTGGAATGAGTTTTTAAAAAGGTACCTGAATTGGCTAAAGGCTATGACATTTTAAAAGGACATATTCTATTTATGTTAATCGTAAGATTTTTCTCTGTGTTAAATTAGCAAGAGGTTCTCTGAATAGGTTTTTCTCTGAGGTTGGGAATCTTTTCAGAGCTAACAGACAAATGGCAGTCCAATAATCTCTCAAAATGAAAATCTAGACTATTTGCGTATTCTCCATATGCAAAAATGCAAAAATGTTATTCATTTGTAAGAAAGGACAATGACAGGCTTTAAATTTTAATAGCAGAACGGGTGGCCTTAAATATATCCTTTGTGTGGTGGTATCTTTCAAATTCATTTTATTCCCATAACTACTCTCCTACCCCTGAAGTGTCTGCCAAGTCGGTATTTACATCTGATGGTCCAGATGGTCACAGTGTGAGGTGTTGCTGTGGACGTACCCAGGCTAAAAAGACTGAATCCGGCCGCGTGTACAAATGTACAGTAAATTGTTCAGGCGAAGGAGATCGCGTTACTGCTTTTAATACTGATTTTTTGTGAGGGTGCTATACAATCTATTAACTTGGTGTTCGTTCAATTATTCATTTATTTCTTATTGAACAATGGTTGAGTTTCACGATAGACTCTTCCAGGTTCTAGTCTAGGTTTCATAGACACCTTGATGAATAAGGTGACCTGAAGTTCAGAGTGTCATGGAGGGACGAATTCAAACAGAATAACAGTATAATGTGTTAACTGCACCCTATATGAGGCACAGATGCTGTGGAAGCAGAGAAGGTTAAACCTTTCCAGGGTCTAGTGATAGAACTGAGGAAGGAAGACTTGACTTGGAGATGTTTATCCCCAATAATCAGGGTCAGTTTTTCCAGCCACCCCAAAAAAACATCCTTTGTAAAACGAATGTGCCTGCCATACGAATGTAGCTTTAGGGTGCGTCTTCCAGCTCCCCCTGTCAGCCAGAGCTAGTGTGGCTGGTGACATGAAGTGTCCTTGAAGTACCTGAGCTGAGATGGGACGATTCCACAGGTGGAGTCAGTGCGAACTCTGTGGAGAACAGGGCAAGAATGTTCTAGGCACAGGGACACGTGTGCAAAGTCCTCACTGCTTAAACTCGTTACTCTTCTATAAGCATAAAACTCATGTTAATTCAGTTAAAGACAGATTTCTATTTATGATTTATTATCTTCAAGATTTTTCACAGTTATCTTTAACTTTTATTTTAAGAGATACACTTGAAGTCCTACTAGAAATAATAGCAACAGAAAAGTGGATATTCTGAAGTGATCTAAGAATGATGAAAGCAGGAAGTCAAAATGCTTATTGAAAGTAACAGCAGAGTGCCGGACAGAGTGACGGAAACATCACCGGACTGAGGCACGGGCATTTCACTTGTTTGTTCATGAAACATACTTATTGGGCATCTCCTGTGTGCCATGCACTGTTCTAAAATCCGAGATACAATAGAGCATGTGAAGTCAATGAACAAAATAAACAGTGAAATAGAAGGCCAAGTAAAGTAGTTCGAAGAGTCCCTGGAACATAAAATGAACTACATGAGTGCTTCCTATTAAAACAAAAATCCTGTTTCTACCACACTCTTCTCTAGAAAGAGCCACACCCATGTGCTCCTTTTCACAGCCAAACCTCTTTTGGAACAGACTGTAATCACTGTCCCTATTTATTCATGGTCCACTGCTTTCTCTGTTTTATTGAAATGGCTCCTGTTAAGGTTTCAAACAACCTCCATCTGAGTAAGCCACAGATGTTTTCCAGCTTTCATGAACCCAGACTCTCAGCAGAATTTGTTGACTTCCCCTTTCTTCCTTTGATTCTGTAGTATGATGCTTCCTTGATTTATCTGCCTTTCTGGCT